ATAGTTTTGTTTATTTGTTATTATCTACTGCAGTACTGTTTCTTCTTATATACACCACCACAGACCCACTCACAATGTCTCTTCTTCTGCAGCGTCAAAGCCCCAAAACATCCACAAGCCTTGCATGCATGCATGCATGCATGTATGCATGCATGCATGCATGCAGGAGAACGTTGAGAGGCCCCAGCACGCGAGGAAAGAGACACCATAAATAAACCTTCGGGGGTAAATATATATATAGATAAGAAAACCTCGCCGTTGGTGTTTTTTTCTTCTCTCTTCTGCTGGCTGTCTCTGCCTCAGCTGCTAGACATAACCCGTATTATTTTTATTTTTTTTTTTTTTNTTTTTTTTTTTTTTATATAAGCAGATAGATGATATACAGCAGCGGCGCGGCTCCACCCGATAGTTGTTTACACCCCGAATAAGAAGAAACAGAGGCATGCATCAATTCATATACAAATTCAAGTACAAGAATATATACAGGTTGCTGCTGCAGCGCAGCAGCCAATATATATATATAGAATATATAGAGAAGAATGCTCCTAATAAACCCTAATAAAAGAGGTTGATGAGTGAAACCCTAATAAACCCTCGTAATATATATATATTTATATATATATATATATATATATATATATATATATATAATAACAACTAGCTAGACCCCATGAATACGCAGCTGCTCTGAGCCGCATATACCCTCACGCTCTAAGAATTCCTTCACAGCCTGACGCTGATCACCCTGTAGCTGTATAATACTACCGTGTTCAGGATCCTCTATTACAGTGCCGTTGCAACTAAACTCTTTCTTTAGGGCTCGGACCATCTTCTTCAGGTCGAAGGTCTTTGGCAGACCCTGCACAGTCGTTACACTCTTGCGGCCATTGCGCTGCTGATTCCTTATATCTGAAACACGCATACACACAGTATAATACATCTATCTTTTATATATATTTCTATGTATCATATGTATATATATATATTGTATTTCTGCTGCTGTAGCTTTATATGCATACAAAAGCCAAGAAGATGCAGTTCAGGGCCTATAATAGAGGGGATATATACTGCATCACTCATAAGCAATCTGTGTGCAGTAGAAAGCGAGAAAAGAAGCAAAAGAAAGAAAAACAGAAACACAAGAAAGAAGCAGCAGGGAGAGGCAGGGGAGAAGAGAGGCATACGGATGAGATGCGTTGAAGCGTTCCCGCCGACACCACCAGCCTTGGTGGTGTCATTGGCGAATGGGTCAGAGACGCCGAGGTTTTGGAAATCGAGGGACATAAGTGTATCCTGAAGAAAAGAAGAGAAAGCAGCAGAAAGCAGAAGAAGATGCATGTATAAGAGGAAGAACAGCGGCACGCATAAGACCCTAAACAACGCCTCTCAGGAGTATTAGACAACGAAAAAGCAATTAAAACAAACAAATGATATACAAATACACGAAATAAACAATTTATAAAAACTGACAATCACAAAGGATTCAAACAGTTCACGAAACAATCAATGCAGGGATAAGCATGAGTGCCCTAGAGGGTCCTCACAAGAACTTGCGCGACAAATAAAGAAGACACCAGAAAGAAGAAGCATTTGGGAGCGAAAAAACCGAAAAATTAGCAAAAAGAAGCAGAAAATAAACCAAACAAACACACTATGAAGCCGGATGCCGCACCGCTTTGGGCTGATGCAGCACGCGGTGTATACCCACCTTGGGTATGACGCAGGAGTAAAGTAGAGATTCAAAGAACGCAGCAAGCCGCAAAAACTCTAAATAACGAAAAAAAGACAGAAAGCAAGAGGATAGAGAATGTCAGCGAAGCAACAGTGAGAACGATAAATGCGCCCAACAGCAGTAGCAGCAGCAGCAGCAGCAGCGGCAGCAACAGCAGCAGCAGCAGCAGCAGCAGTCCACCTCTGCTGCACAAAGCTGCAGCAGCACCGCTGACGCAAGGGTGGGGAGGGGCTTGCTGCAATGACCTCTGCTTGTATTTCTCGTTTTAAATGATCAAATACATTTTATTTTTATTGTGTATTTGTTTTCTTACATATATCGAAACTCTTTACAAAGAGAAGCTGCCCAGTGCTTCCTCTTGGGTTGAACGTTCAATAGCTGCAACGGCAACTGCGCTCGGTAGTACAAGCTGAGCCGCATATGGGCTCTGCAATGTTAAATATACCATTCGAATTATTTAAATTCAAATAAATTACATATTGTTGTCGAAAATTATATTTAAAGATACTTTATATACACCCCGTGCACGCTGTGCAGGTAGACGAGGTGGCGATGCCTTCGTTGCTTCCTGCTTGGTAGCTGCAGCTACGGTGATGCAGTTCATGCTGTGTGTCCAGGGGTAGCAGTACTTGTCTATTTGAATATTTTAAATATTGAATTCTTGTGAATGAACTCTGAGGAGTAAACTGCTAGTTACGTGGTGTGGCTGCTATCTCGGTGCATGCGGCCTATTCAACTGCAGCGCAGCGCGTCACAGTAGAGCACGCAGCACTGTAGCTCTGTTTCAGAGTCAGAGGGTTTCAAGGGTAAGGTGAATGTTTCTCTTAGCCTCTTGGCGGGAGGTTCTCTGCGTCTGCATGTAGAACTTTACTCCCAGTGAAGTGCTTTGGAAAGCTTAACAAGGGCCCTCGGCCTTGTACTGGGGTCGTCGTTAGGTGCAAAATAGTGAAAGTATTTCACAGCTGGTCAAAGAGCAGCTGATCTTCAGCGCAGTTCCAATGGATCATAGACGAAGAGGCAGAAATGCCTTGGAATGCTGGGGAGGGGATCTGCCATTTCACTTGTTGCAGCAGGGCTTACCTGCCGATGCACGGCAATCCCATGAGCAAACACAACCCAACCGCCATTCGATGCAAGCACTAACACTGTAGTGAATTCTTAAACATTTAGCTGGCCCTCACCAGCCAGAATGTACTCGAGTAAGTACCCACTTCAGGGAGCAACTCTGCAGCTGCCCCGGGAAACATGATACACCCTCGTTTGCTCCCGGCCTCAGTCCTTCCTTCTCATGCGTTCTTAAAATCCAGCCCTCTTGGGGAGGCCAGGATGTAAGAACGAAAGAGAAGGGAAGATCAAGGGAGAGCGCTGCACCGGTACACGACAGCAAAAGAAAAACGAGATGTGGCGGAAAGGGAAGCGAGATCACCTGATCGTCCGTGACGTTGCTGCAGAGAACTGGAGCAGTCGTTTGTCGCAATGGTGCATCTGCCTTTTACGCGGAATGTTCAGAAATTTCCCAGCGATTCCTTGAACCGTTACAGAGAACCAAACTCACTGGTATGGCGGCATCTAGCCGCAGGTGGTATGTATGGAATGTGTGTTAACGAGGTGAGGGGGAAACGAAGCTCAAAGAACCTAGGACCTTTTAGGCTGCTCGATCTACTGCGCACTTCGCGGAGGGTCCAACCCCGCTAAGCCCAATTCACCTAGGTTGAAAGCATTGGCTGACATTCGTGTCTCATCGTTTCTTTACATGTCGCTCACCTGTTTTCATCACTCGTTCCAGAGATGCGGCTAGCTGTGTGCTTACTGGTGTACGGGGCTGGCTGCAAGAAGAATCAGCATCAGGTTAGAGAACGAGATTTTGGTGTAGAACAGGAAACTGGTGTCATCAAGCCGAAAACAGCACTGCTGCAGTGTAAAACCGGTGCGCATAGGGAAGGAATTCCAGTCACTTCGTAATTTTTTCTGTGTTCACGATACCCAGTTATCCATACCTTTTTCTTGTTGGGTGTCATAGTTTGACCATGTGCATCCTTGCGGCGGTCGGCGATCATGTTTTGGTTGGTATTAAGCCGCCTAGTGGTTTTGTCCGTATAGGCGCTTACAACATTTTGTTCCTTGCCAGTCAGCAATGGCGCTTTTCAGAAAATCATTGAGTTGGGTAAAGATGATTTGTAAGTAATTTGGCAGAGGAAGTGCTGTCACATCATCTGACTGATGGGAAACTTGCATAAATTTATTGAGATACTCTTCCATATCCGTCAACCAATCGGAATACTCTGCAGAAATCAGAGTTTGAAAGTGCTCTTCTTCTTTCCTTGCCGTGATTGAAGTGAGGAGATATTCCTCGGCTTATGGGCATACCCTGCAACACCAAAAGAACCAGGCCACCCTAACTGTTGAGTTGATCCCAGTATCACCCGGTTAGCTATGGTCGCGCGCCCTATACGATCGTACACTCTGCGCTGAACTCCCGCACGAAGCGGAGAGATAAGCGTATAGCGTGTTGAGTCAGCGCGTCGTCTGGTGCCACGAAAGATCTTCCTCTCTGCTGCTTTGCTTAACCCGTCTTACCCTTTTGAACTTGGGAAGAAGCGCAGCCACGTGAGTATCGAAGGCGTAAGACGCATGCAATCTAGAAGGAAAACGGGAGTCACCGCAGATGAAAGGAGTTGAAGAACAAAGTGCCTGATAAGTACGGCCTCGGAAAAGTGTATCAATGACCGCGCGACCACGCTGTGATAGTGATACCCTCGGTATGCATGACTCTGAAGCCGTACTGTGTGGTTTCGCAAAGCCACCGATCAACGCCTTTAGTTACGTAGTAGTTGCAGCGCACCTTGCATGGTACAAGTGCTAATGGAGGTTTCAGCTGAACCCATGCACTTCATTCATGGGATTAAATATCCCATCCCCATTAGCTTCCCCAAGAAGTCGTGATTCAGCTGTCGCTCCGCTTCTGCTGCTGCCTTCACATGCCAAAAGGGTACACTGTACACTAGCATTCAAGTGCAAGAGGGGAACGCTATCTTGTGCCTTTCGACGGGGGTCACTGGAATCTAGAAACGGGCTTGAAATTGGGTTTACTTAAGAACCTTCTTCACATAAGCAACTGAGCCTGCTTAAAGGCACTAGTCAACGGTCGAAGCTTACTTCGCCTTGGCAGTTATTCCCCCTCCCACTCAATTTCCCTTTTAAGACACGAGGGTAGCCTGCACCTTGAAAGAAAGCTTGGGACTGGGTCGAGAGTGAGCTCGATGCGGCAAATTGCGTGTCCAAGGGTTGGCTCTCCTTTTACGATCTCCTTTTTATTTTCAAAGCCTGGCAACGCTTCCTTCGACTGCATCCACTTCTGCTGTTTCTCTGGCACTATTGTGTCGAATCCCACAAAACTGATCGTAGGAGCATCACTGTGGAGCGCACGCACTTCGCCTTCGCTTCCGGCAGGAGCTCTACAGCGCCGTGGAGTCTCACTGCTTCTTTGTTTTGAAGACATTCTCTACCCGTGTCTAACGTTGAGCGTGCAAAAGCTATTGGGAAAGCTGGGTGGAGCATTGGCCTATTGCTGGATTTCAATATTCTCCTCAGGATGCTGCTTGCGCTCCCTTCATTGAGCTGCGGATGCTGTACTGGTTCCAGCACGAGGAGGCGTCCAGCCGTTGCTCGCGTTCACGCCAGAGGGCATATTTGGATCATCCCTTACTGTTCAAGGGGGAGAAAAGGCTGGATCGTTGGCGAACGTATTAAGGAGAATATCTCTGCTCCTTTTCTGGGGCTTCACAAGTATTCAGAGCTATCACATCTTGGAAATAGCTCTGCACCACCACTATATTTCATCGTTCTGCTGTTGTACTGTTTGGAGTGGACTACACTGACTCACCTTGACTTTTAGACAAAGTCCTTCGTGTGAACTTGCTGGATGATCATAGCTTAGTGCATTTCTGCGGGGAGCGGTGACTGAATATGCAGAAATGATACTTGAGGCTTTTCAGCAGCTCTAGTAACTGAATTGTAGGGCTGCAAGAACATGGAACTGACAAACATGGGCTAGGGAGCGCAGAAAGCCGACAAAACCTATACTGGCACACTCCCAGAGCCAGCAGCTCTTCGAAATCCACGTGAACTCTTGCTTATACCCTGCTTTACTGTTTGCACGTCTGCCTGATTTAGTAACTAGTACGGCAGCACGGCCACAGGAAGGGGAAAGGGAATGAGAACTGGAGGAGTATGACGAGGATAAGGACAGCAAGAGAGCACGGGTTTGACTTGTGCAAATGAGACGTATGAACGGAGCATAAGTGATCTTCCTAATCTCCAAAAGTTCGAACGAGACAACCTACAAGTGCAGAAGAAAATTGGAGAACAACGTATCGTCAAAACGTAAGCGAAATTGCCACTATACGGCAAATGACGGCACTCAGGTGCCAAGGATTCCTAATTCAAGTTGAACAGAATGTTGTATGCAGGCACCGAATATATTGAATATCAGCTTTCCCGCAGAAGAACTTCTTTAGATTGTCTCAGTGCGTTTCAACTAACTGGGCTTTCGAGATAAACCGAAAATACATACATTTTCTGCGAATCGTTCAGAGGGGATCTAAGAAAAGTCGATGCATTTCCGTTGCACCTCTCTTAGTCTGAGTCCTTCTATATCCAGAGCTGGCTCTAACAATATATGCCATTTCTAATCCTTGCATCCTACAGCGTTTGTTTGTTTGATGATTATCCCAGCTAACGCACCACAATGCCGTATAGGGGGGCCTCTCTGACGAGTTCGGTGATAAAATAAATAAAAAAAAGTAATTAAAGAACTAATTAATTAATTAATTAAGTTAACAGCCAACCAGACATCTGAATTCACTCAGCTGTAGACTCAGTGAGAAATCAATTGAGACGTAGTAAGAAAACAATTGATCAGCCCGCAAAGAGCCTTGAAGGGTCCACCCCCCCTCCCCCAGTCCCCCCGCGGCCTCCCGTTGGAGAGGCTCACAGAGGTTCAATAGGCAAAGCCAGCCTCTCAGCTATAGAGAGGCCCGCTAGAGAGAAGCCAGCGCGAAGAAAGAATCAAGATTCCCCCTCATTGAGGGGTTCTTGATCTCAGATTGGCGCTGCAGGTCTTCTAGCACTTCTCTGCTCAGTCTCTGAGATGTCTGCAAGCATCGGCACGAAGTATAATAACAGATATAAACAACTTCTTTGCATACAAAAGAGCACCCACCCACACAAACAAGGAAAAAAGCAAGCAAGCAAGCAGAACAAGAAACCCCTAAACCCGTTCATACAGTCAGCTCCTCCTCCCAGCCACAGTGATACTCTGCACAGCTTCTTACCGCTAGAGTCGTCTGCAGGGTGCGGCAGTCTGCGAGCACATGGCCGAACTTCTGCAGGCCAACGCATGCCCCTGAAGGTAGAAAGGCCGCGACTAAGAAGCTGTCTCCACACGTGGCCTCAACCTCTGTCAAGTCCCACAGGTAAGTGTCTCCTATCTAAGACAAAAGCAAAACACACAGTCATACAACCACAACAATAACATAATGGGGATCACCAGTATATGCCCTGAACATGAAACCCTCAAGACAAAGAAATACAAGCCAAGCCAGGCATTTGAACTCAGCACGTAACCCCTCGTACAGCGCCCCTAGGAGAAAGAGTAGAAGAAAGTCTCTTCTTGCATCATACGGTGACAGTATATATCTCCTAGACAGAAGTAGGCAGAACCATTATATTAACTGCAACTGTTGGTGTTAACTTAAACTCATTAAGTTAGTTTACTTATACATCTGAAGTACCTCGTTTGGCGTCAGCTCTTGAACACTATCTAGGTAGCCACGGGCTCGAATCAGCTAGCTAGCTAGCTAGTGGTGTCGCTAGCTAGCTAGCTAGCTAGCTATAAGTGTCGCTAGCTAGCTAGATACCTAGGTAGCTAGCTAGCTAGAACATTTTCTACAGCTAACAACAAAGTAGATGAGTGTCAAGACACCCAAACGGCAGCAGACCGCACCTGGGCTGCCGTGATGAGGATGGGGACCGTATCTATTGGAAATGGCTTCCCTGCTGATATCCTAAGAAAACAAGAGACAGAGGAAACAGACAGAAGAGATATCCACGACATGCACGGCACGCAAACAAGTGCTCAATGCACAGGAGACAAGCAGACGAAGGCAGTGAGAGGGGAGGACAAGCGTTTAATATATATATATATATATATATATATATATA